AATCCCGAGACAACTATAGAAGAATGAGAAATGAAACAAAGCAGTTGTTAAGAAGAAAAACATGAATACTAGGAACAGTTTACAAAAAGGGTGAAAAGCGACTTCTACGGTACACAAAAACAAATATGGAGATTCATAAGAAACCAACGGAAAAAAATGGCAGAATTTAAGGAATACAATAACATACCAGCAAACGAATGGGAAAGATACCTGACGGAACTGTTTAAAGCAAAGGAAAATAATCAACACAATAACGTACCTGAATTAAGACACGAAATAGAAATCCGTTTTCAGCAAGTAGAAATAGCCATAAATTCACTCAAAAACACGGAGGAGAAAGTATAGCCCTAGAGATGACAAAACTTACACAAAAACTAATATTGCACTGCAAGATACCAGACGCATGGAGAAACAGCACAATGATACCATTGTTCAAAAAAGGAGATAAAGAAGACTCCAACAATTATAGAGGTATAAATCTACTGAACACCGCACTTAAGCTTACCACAAAAGTCCTAACCAACAAAATCAATAAACCAACAGCTTTATCAGATGAACAACAAGGATTCAGATCCGGCAAATCCTGCGTAGACGCCGTATTTGTACTAGGACAAATCACAGAAAAGACCATAGAGTACAATAAACTAGCATATCTATGTTTTATAGACTTGACAAAGGCTTTCGACCGCATCCAAGTCGAAGAGGTCGTACACCTACTCTATAAAAGAAACATACCAATCAATACTATACAAACCATCGAAAACATCTACCTCCATAATCAAATACAGGCAAAGATAAATGGAAAACTAACACAGTGTATACCAGTACAAGGCGGAGTCAGACAGGGTGACTCGTTAAGCTCAGTTCTCTTTAATATAATAATGGACTAAATAATACAAGCAGTACGTAAAGGTCATGGCTATAGAATGGCAAACAAAGAAATCCAAATATTATGTTATGCAGACGACGTTGCATTAATCGCCGAGACAGAAGACGAGCTCCAAAGATTAACACATATCTTCAATACAACAGCTAAGAAATATACTATGATAATATCAGCAGAAAAAAAACAAATGTATGTAACATAATACCCACTACGGTGTAAAATCGAAATTGATGGGAAAATAATAAAGCAGGAAGCAAAGTTTAAATATCTGGGAATAGATATAACTAGTTACGGAGATGTTGAAGTACGACAACAAAGCTTAAAAGCAAGTAAAGCGGAGGGATCTGTTAATGGCACAATCTGGAAGAACAAACACCTAAGACAAGACACAAAAACAAGAATCTATAAAGCAGTAGACCTATATTAACATACACGGCAGAGACAAGAATGGTAGAGAATAGAATAGTACGAATAGCACGAGATAAGTAACCAAAAGGACGAATAAGTATTGACAGACCAAGAAAAAGATGGTGTGACAAATCCTCCAAAGAGGAAGAAGACAATTTGTATTAGATTCAAAGTTTGCCGGGGTAGCCTTATTATTTTTATAAATTTATGAATTATATAAATATGAATAAATTTATCATCGGTACCTTTTTCATCGCACCCTAGAACCAACCCTTACTTTATAACTCTCTCGAGATTTCAAAACAAAAAGGGGGAGGAAAGCAGTTATGATCAACATCACTAAAATTTGTTGAGTGTTGACATATCCATGGAAGAGAACTTTATGTGCTGTGAAGGCCTTTTAATGATATTTTGAAGTCCCAGAAAAGTTAAGTCATACAAACAATTGTATATGGAATGAAAAATAATGATGCCAATAAAAATAATATGATGTGGTTTGGAATAGCAAATGAAGGTTAACCAAATAAATATATTAATAAAAAGCAAATAAAACAGGCAGATCAATGAAGTATAAAAAGAATATAAAATTAAGGCACAAGCATTAACCAGAAAAAATAAATGGATGACAGACGACATCTATACAACGAGGAGTCAGACAAGGTTGCATTTTGTCGCCAACATTGTTCAATGTTTACTCGAACCAGTTATTTAAAAAGGCACTCGAGAGACAACCATATGGAATAAAAATCAACGGGGAACTACTTAATGTGATTAGATATGCAGACGATACAGATATCTATCAGATAATATTGAAGGTCTTCAAATTCTGCTTGATCGTATTCACGAGGTAGGAGAGGAAATGGGCATTAAAACAAACTCAAACAAAACCAAATTTTTAGTGTGACCCACATCCCGATGCAAAGCTTCAATTAAACGGAGCCCAAGTTGAGAAAGTTCACAAAATGACATATTTGGGAACTGTGATAACGGACCAACTAGATCCAGACATAGAAATAAAACGTAGAATAGCAATGACTAAAACTACTTTTATGAAAATAAAGTCATTTCTTTGCAATAACCATCTCAGCTTAGAACTAAGGAAAAGAATAGTTAAGTGCTATGTTTGGTCCGTATTTTTGTATAGTGCAGAAGTGTGGACGCTAAAAGTATTGATCATGAACAAAATTAAAGCATTGAAGCAAAATTGAAGATACCTCGGACAGCAAGGAAAAGTAAGGAGCGTCAACAAAGATAGAGAACTGCTAAAGACTGTTAAACATCGAAAAATGTCTTATCTGGGACATATAGTAAGGGGAAGTCGATATAAAATATTACAACTGATCTTTAAAGGCAAAATAGAGGGCCGTAGAGGTATAGGAAGAAAAAAAGTTTCTTGGTTAAAAAACATTCGTCAATGGGCAAGACAATGGAATAATTGTCTTGCGCCAAACGCAAGACAATTATTCCATATTGCAGAAGACCGAGAACACTTCGCAATGGTGATCGCCAACGTCGGATAATTCTGATATGGCACGCGAAAAAGAAGAAGACGAGAATTAACTGTCCTGAAAATCTGAAGCTATTTTCTGTGGCATCGTAATACAATTTACTATTTTTACCGAAAATTAATCACAAATTTAGTTACTAAAATTGTCGTTAACTCCCAGTAAAAACAGTAAATTACTTTACTAAGGGTTAGAAAAAGGTTTGTACAATAGTATAAATACCGTTATAAATTATGACGTAACTTTTGGAATAGAGAGAAAAACTCTGAAAGGTGTATAAATGAGAATCAAATCCTACTTTTTGAGGTGCAGTAGTATCCAAATGGTGAAATAAATATTTTGCATAAAATGCCAGATAATATTACACTATAGCTAAAGCCATTGAACAAATGTACATGAACATAACTTCTTATATAAAAAATTAGTAGTCATAACTACCTTGTCTAAGATGACAAAATTGTGTTCTCAATTCAGTTCAAGATATACCTGGATAAAGTTTGATTCCAGTGGTGAAGAAAATTTAATGGTATTGGAATTCTCTAGACGACCACACCAAAGACATTATCCATTATCAAATGATGTTGGCCCAAGAAGGTGAAGACAGAATAGGTACATGACAAGAAAATTATTTAAATATTACATCAAATGGACACTGACAATTAATGCTGCTAAAACTGAATATTGTGTATATGGGGGTGAAGTATTAGAGATAAACCAGAGATATATGCTAAATAGATACTAATAAAGATGCACAAATTCAAAACAGTGGAAATAATCATGTTGTTCAAAAGATCATAAGAACATTGAATTCAGTCATTTTGGAAAAAATGTAAAAAGGTAAACCAAAACTTCATATTAATGATTCTCTAGTTAAACACTTAAGGTTTAGCAATGCAATCGCCTGAAGAGAAAACAAACTACTGGCAAAAGAACCAGACTTTCCTAGTAGACTAGGCTTACCAACTAAAAAGAATTAGAAATGTAGGCATGACAAAAAAGCTCGAAAGGGAGACTGTTATTGATGATACACATATGCCAGAACCAACTCAACCAATATCACAAAGAGTATCAAAGATTCACCAATATCACTATATTTTTCGATGTGATGGAATGTGCAATTAAGAAAGTAGAATGGAAAATATCTACGGGAATGAAAAACTACGAACAAAATTCGCAAAGTGAAAAAATATTGATTACTGGTAACAAAGAAGTTACAAAGAAGACAGCTAGAGAACAGGTGATGACAAATAGTTACTGGTTGGGACTAGATCTAATTTATCTTATTATACCAGATATTAATGAAGTCATCGATAGCTGTTGAAGAGATGTAAATATTTTGACATTTATAACACATTTAAAACATGAAGCAAACACATTAGTAAGCAGAGACTGCTGTAGAACACAAAGAATATCTAAAGTTTACACCAAGATACTTTTAAAAGTAGTTATGCCCTTGTCGAAAGTACACCACAAACTTGAGATAAAAAAAATGGAATCACTATAAAACCAAACTCAAAATCAATTTTTCAAGTGTACGTATTTATAGCAGGAGGCCTATATGTACAATTGGACATAAAAAGTCTGAAAAATTGATGACGAATCCTGCTACAAGAACATAAAGATAAAAACACAAAAATGAAGATTAGTATTTCCCTAAATTATTAAGTTAATAATATTCATCGGTCATTGTAGTCCTGGGGTGAATAATGCATTTGAAATTTAATAATTAATATTAAAGACACTTAAGTTCAAAAAATTTACAAGTTACACTTGATCTTGAAATGTCAGGTAGGTATGTTATCCTTGAAAATCACAAATGTTAAACACATTTTTTTATAATATCTTAATTTTTAGCAATCATTTTTGTTGCTTAAAAGAGATAATAATGAAAGACGTAAAACATTCAAATTATAGAAGTAGGTATTCTATTAGCCGTTTACATTTGACGTGGAAAATAACTGTTGTGATAAAAAAGTTTATATTAATTTAAAATGGAAAAAAAACATACTATTTATAAATAAAAAATAATAAAAGAAACATTTCCAAATTTCTTTTATCTCCGTCTAAAAAATAATTTCCATTTATGATAAAGACAAACCCCACCCAAAACCTATCAGTTTGATCATTAATAAATGTATTTTTATTAGATTTTCTGAATAATCTTGAATAAATATTGAAATCATATCGACAAATATTCTTACCTTTGATATGATGAGTGTTTCCAAAAGGTGAAATACGTAGAAAGATTTATAAAAAGTAACTGTACAAGACTTTACCGGTTATCACAGCTGATTCTCACTCGGTCAACTTGCCACTCTCACGCTGGAAGCAGAAATGGTGAAATTGAACAGAATGAGCTAAAAGAGAAGCGTTCGATTTCAGGCTGGTGTGTGCAGTGTTGCCAAATATCTATCTTGTAAATATAAATTTTAGGAGAACGGAAACTCTTTCCGGTATGTAATGAATCCAAACAGAACGATGTTAAAAATCTGAAATACGAATTCGTCTGTCATACAAATTTTGATTGTGTATTTTTATCTATACATAACGGCATAAGTCAAGTTAATGAAATTTGAACAAAGTTGTATTAAAGAAATTTTTTAAAAATCGTTGAAATTTTAAACAGGTAATCATTAGCACAGGCATTATTCTATGTTTTGAAGCGGAGCTTCTATCATAATAAAACCTCTCTCTCTCTCTCCCCCCCCCCCCCCTCTCTCTCTCTCTCTCTCTCTCTCTATGTGTCATATACTTTCAGCACTATTTTCAGAGTATGGATTATCAGGGATCTAAACATTACCTACATACTACTGGAACTATATGAACACACTACTGGATTAGTTAAAGTACTTGACACACTTTCGAACGAATTTCATCCAGAACGGGGTGTCAGACAAGGATGTATACTATCTCCACAATTATTCAACATATATGGGGAGTATATTATGCGAAGAGCACTTGAAGGATGGGAAAAGGGCATCTCAATAAATGGTCATAAACTAAACAACCTACGTTTCGCAGATGACACAGCCCTTCTTGCAAATAGTCAAGCAGAGCTGATAGAACTTATACGACTGTACGAAAACGAAAGTCAAATATTTGGTCTGCAATTAAACATATCAAAGACAAAGATCATGATAGTGGATAGACTACACAACAATCATCCACACATAACCACAATTAACCGGTTCGAGGTTGTGAGCTCATACTTATATCTGGGATCATTAATCACAAACACAGGGTCATTGCAAGAAGAGATTAAACGTAGATGTGATCTAGCAAAAGTTGCCACAGCAAAAATGACCAAAATATGGAAGGACTGTCAAATTTCAAGAGCGATAAAGATGAGGTTGATCAACTGCTTAATATTTCCAATACTGACCTACGGATGTAAATCTTGGACTCTGAGACAATCGGAGAGAAGAAAGATAGATGCCATTGAAATGTTCTGTTGGAGACGAATGTTACGAATTCCTTGGACCGACCGCAGAACAAATAATTCAATTTTAAGAGAGCTAAAAGTTAGCCAGCGACTCTCTAGTAAAGTCCATCTTCAACAATTAAAATATTTTGGGCATGTTATGAAAGCAAACACAGAAAACATGGAAAGACTCAATACAAGGAAAGGTAGAAGGCCGAAGATCACGAGGAAGATCCCCAACAAGATGGATAGATCAAATTACAGGAATATGCCAAAGACCTATGCATGAATTAAAAGAAATGACCAGAGACAGAGATCTCTGGAGACGGACAATACACGACATCACATCGACCACTACACTCCCCCTGGGGGGTCAGGATTGAAGAGAGAGAAACATTACCTACAGTATTTTTGGAATCCACGAAAGTGGATAACAAAAAGTCCTGGGATTAATTCCATTTCATGTCATCATCATCATCATCAACTACCCTCTAACGTTCACTGCTGAACATATGCCTCTCGCATGGTTTTCCACTTAGTCTGATTTTGCGCCATCTGAATCCAATTTGTAGTCACTCTTTTCATGTCATCTGTCACTCTCATTGGGGGGTCGACCTCTATTTCTGTTAGCTTGTATTCGGGGTCTCCATTCCAAAATTCTTTTTGTCCACCGGTCACCAACTGATCTTGCTACATGACCTACCTAGTTCCACTATAGTGTTGTTATCCTTTCAATAACGTCTGCTACTCCTGATCTTTTGCGTATAGTTGCATTGGGTATTCTATCACGTAGAGAAATCCCTAACATTATTCTCTCCATTGCCTTTTCTGCAACTTGTAGTTTACTCACTGTTGTTCTTGTGAGTGTTAGGGTTTCTCCGCCGTAGGTCATCACTGGCAAAACATATTGATTAAATACTTTTCTTTTCAGACACATTGGAATCTTAGACCTAAAAATATCCTTCATCTTTCCAACTGCAGCCCAAACGAGGTTTATTCTTCTTTTCAGCTCGATTGTTTAGTTGTCTCGACTTATTATGATCTCATGGCCCAAGTATTTATAGGAGTCAACTAGCTTAATATCTTTGTCTTCTACTGAGATGTTTTTGTTGTGGACTAAATTTGTCATAAATTGTGTTTTTGAAAAAATTATTTTAAGACCAACTCTTTTTGTGGCAGTATGGAGTTCTTAGAGCATTATCTGCAAATTTAAGGTTATTTAAAAATTTTCCAATCTATTGTTTTACAAGCGTATTCTAGCAAAGTTGTAAATAATTTAGGAGACATGTTGTCTCCTTGCCGAACGCCTTTTTCAATATGAAAGGTCTCAGTATCTTATTAAGTCTTACACAGGCTGTAGCATGCTGATAGATGTATCTGATGAGATCTATTATATTCAATGGTTTTTTAAATTAGCGACTTAATGATTTGCAAAAGGATCATTGTTCCGTATCCAGCTCTAAATCCTGCTTGCTCGCAAGGTTGATAAAAGTCTAGTTTTGATGTCAACCTATTAGTTATTATCTTCATAAACAACTTATAAACGTGAGATAACAAGCTAATAGGTCTATAGTTCTTTAGCTTTGTTATATCTCCCGTTTTGTGCATGACTATCTTGATTTTCAATGGGCGATATGACTTTAAAGTGTATTTTACTAGTTATCCAATTCCAACCCTACCGCAAGTGCTACACAACGAAACTGAAGACCAAAAGAACTTTTCAGCCCATAATGCCAATGAGCGATTAAACAGCACACAAATTGATTTTAACGAAGATATTTCACATAATTATTGTATTAATCATAAGGCAATGTGAAATAACACAACAATTATAACTAATAAAATAAAATAGCCACAAAAAATAATCAATAAATACGAAGATCTAATTGGAACCCATAGTCACTACAAACTGTTTTAGTTTTCAACTGTAAATTTGTATTCTTTTATTCTTGGATAACAATTAAATAGCATAATATACTGTCCAGCAAATAAAAAATGAAATGAGTCATGAGTGTGATCACTTACGTTTATCTTATCGTATAGCTATGACTTTTACCAAGAAGCGTGTCAGTAGCCGGGAAAAGATTCGTATATGGTATGTATATATTTAATTTTTCCATAGTTATGAGTATATTGTGTGTTAGAAATATACAGGGGTCTTTGTGTTTAACGATATATTGCTTTTGTTAAATATTATTTAATTTGATAAAAATAAAAGAAACTATCTATCATATTTACTGTAAGTCCGTCTGGTAATTTCCGGGTGCCGGAAATTATTTTCTTTCTATACCTTCAGGGATATAGGATCACAATAAAAAAGTTAAAAAGAGTTTAAGGCAATATGAGAGCTCTTCTGTCCGGCAGATGGCATGGAGTGTGGAGGGACGAGGGAGCTGAGCGGGCTGTACCCTCTTACCATGAATGAATTAGTCGAGGCATTAGATGCACTAAGACGTGTAGGTCCCCAAAACTAGACCAGATACCGCACGAAGCGGTAAAGGGACTACGACGCGCGAAACATGGCTGGTTTTTGGAGCACATGAATGCATTGCTTGAAGCACAGATATTTCCTGAGACTTGGAGGACGAACCGGTTGGAACTGTTTCCCAAATCTAGAGAGAAGTATCGCCCCACATGCTTTTAACGCTCTTCTAAATGTGGTGATTCTATATCTGCTAAATATTAGATGACTATCGTTAAAAAAACGAAAGGAAAGGAACATCAAAAGAGGACAGAAGAAAGACCAGATTCTGTGTGACCATTGAGGTATCAAAAAATCCTTTACCGCTCCGAAAGATATCTTCATACCTCATTATGTCGCTCATGACCTCGAAATGACCAAAGAAATGTCGCCGTTATTTTGCAAAAGTTCGGCCACTTGGACGAATTCAAAAATTGGTAGCCTAGAATTGGTAAAATGCTACATTTAGAAGATGGCAATCCATCGTTATTCATACATTCACACATAGTGACAAGAGATCCTCTTGCTTGCTAAAAGGGCAAGCCTCGATAGCATATGGTGCACGATACCATGGAAAAATTAACTTTCCCAAAGATATTGCAAATGTTGTTAAAATGGGATACTTGGATTGGAAGATCGTATGAAGCATGATTAAAGTGAATTTTCAAGAGACCGGTTTTTAATATGAAAACATCATGCTCTTAAGACTGCGGATGGTTACTTCTTCCTCAACACCTGGTGCAGAGCTGGAAATACATGTTGCTTTCGTAACAAAGAACATATTATGCCAATAATTTCTAATAGGACTATCTCAAAAAAAAAGGTTAGTATATATCTAAAGACTGAGAAGCCGGCTTAATACGCACTAGAGGTAATCTAGATCAGTCGTTGATGGTATATATTGAATAATATCGATAAGTTGCCAAAACAGGGCGTTATTGATAGTTCAAGGATAGTTCATGATATTGTATATGTATGTAACATTGTTAAAATAAACCGGCTTTGTGCTTAACTTGTTTTAATGATAGACATAATCTAATTATTAATAACTATTTTAATTATTATATATTTTCATACACTGTAATAATATTTCAAATTGCCACATAAATATCAGTATATTTTTTTATATACCGTAAATACTTTAAGGGACATCGGAATCTTGTGCTATGGCATCTGAAATGAATTGAAATGTTTACTATGAGATGACAGTCTTAGATTCAAAGTAATTTCAAATATATATATATATATATATATATATATATATATATATATATATATATATAATTAAGGATCACTCGAAGAGTGGCGGGTTTTTCGGTAAAAAGTTGGAGAAAAAAAGACAAAGATGATGGCTACTTCATCTATTTATTGAAAACGTTTTGCTATCCAATTTGATAGCATCATCAGTTCATCTAAAAAGAACAATATGAAAAACCTAACATCCACTGAAAAGTTATTAAGTGTGTTACCT